CTCATTACAAATAATTGTCAAAAGCTGGTGAAGGACTTAGTATTTGATGTTCCGGATACGCCTACATTGAGATTAATGAAAGATGTAAGTTAATACCAGCAAACAAAATTTATAGTAGGAGAATGAAAAATAATTTCATATATTTATTTTGTTTCTTCTTTTTTTAGGTTGGAGATGAATTTGGAATAAAACTGCCTTTCCAACTGCCTCCGGAATCTAGTAAAGAAACACAGTTTATTATTTTAATCTCAGACGATACATTTGCTCAGACGTTAAGGGGCACACTTACGTATATGTTAGAAAACAAGGAAAATACAGTTCAGGAGAAACTTGATTTTAGTATGCATTTGAGGTGCAGTAAATTCATGGTTGGTTACCTTCCACATAGGGACATACTAACGGAATTACTTAAAAGTCGTCAATTCATTTGCAAGAATAGACGTCTTAGAAAATTAGTTTCTTTTTCGGAAAATTTTGATGTTATTTTAAATGCAATTTGTTGCAAGTGCAATCTCATATTAGTGGAACAAATTTACGATACTGCATCTTTGTATGGACACTCTTTGAAAGGACATCACGTGTGCCTTTTATTAAAATATGATGTAAGTAACATTTCAGAATTTAATATTCGTAATAGTTTCAGAGAATATAAATCAGAATTTCTATTTTGCAGAAATTTAAACATACTTTCCTACTCGAAGGTAAAGGCGACAGTGACACGTTACTGTCAGAAGTTGCAGATGAAGTCTTAGAGATCATTGATGCTCACCAAATGATAAAGTGAAGTGTTTATATTTTACGATTCCTATTCTCATTCATTGCAACCATGTCCATTATATTACTCAACGGCAAAATGAACACTTTACACAATTCATTACATATAAACTAATAGCTATAGAAAGAAACTTATCTGTAAACTTATTAAATATTTTCAGAGAAAAATCTTATTTAAACTTTACATCTAATTTAGATAAACAAATTTATAACATATTGTGAATATATACAGAGTGTACCATACAATGGTATCTCTGTGTTTTCAACAGTTTTAAATCATTTGTTAGAAAAAGCTGATACATCAAATTAGTTTTTAGTTGTCTTTTTCTAATAAATTATTTGAGACGGTTCAAAACTCGCAGATACCGTTACACGCTACGCTTTGCATATGTATAAATAGACACACATTATTACATACATGTGTGTGTATGCGTGTGAGGTAACATTTAAAAAAAAAAAAGCAAAGAGATTTACCATAATAAATTGAAGACATCAGAATGAAAGTAGTTCATCTCATTTCTAGAGGATTTCGGTTAATAAATTGATGTGCAATAATAAGATAGTAGGTAATGAAACAGAATATTTATTTTTGATTAACTTTTTACGATTTCTTAATTAATAAGAGCTTTTTTTGCATAATTTACTATATGTAAATATTTTTTAATAATTTTGTGGCAATCTTAGAAAAAACAATTTTCTTAAAAACATTGAAATCATATTTCATATAAATCTAAACAACTCTCTGTATAGTTGATAATATTAAACTATTTTGCCAAAAGTGACAGAAAAGGGTATAAGTAAAACTATTGTGTGAAATATTATGTAATAAGGATGTTCATCTGTAAAATACCTAAACTACTGTAATAAACTATGAATATCATCCATTAGAAATTGGCTACTTTATAAACTGATATCTTCAATTTTATGTTATTAAAAGATTAATATTATAATTACATTGTTGAAATCTATTAAATTGTAAAATACAACCGCGGATAATCGTGAACTGTGTGAATGTACATCAATGTTTTCAGCAGAATGTATACTTCCTGCATGACTTTGTAATATCAGCAATTTAATACATATAAGGATCTATGCTAAGTATATAAATATGCAATACAGTAACGCATGAAACACCAAATGTAAATAGCTAATACTTACATGCCGATAAACAATATTTTTATTTTAAATATCTTCCAAAAATTAATTTCATTTACATAAAGAAAGAAAATCTCTTATTATATCATTAATATAATTATATGTAACGTTTCACTATGTCAATACATATTACATAACTTTAATTTCATATAGCTATTTAAATTCATCAATAAAAATAAAGAATGATGAATAATTGAAGAGATTGTGAGCATAAATGCCAGTAAATGATTTTAAAATGTTAGAAATAACTTCTCGACACTTAGGTCTATACAATTAGAAATAAAAATATTGCTATTATGCATTTTTGTTTTAAACATGTTTTTTGTTTGCGTAAATTGTTTAAATATTTGTTTTCTTCTACTATTTGAGAATATAAATATAAATTTTCATATCCTGTTATCATGTTTGTTGTGCCAAAAATGATCAGTCAGTAACAATTTCGTCCTTGACATAACATGTAAAGTATAAAAATATATTAGTCAATTGAACATTTCTTTTGTGTTTGCATTTATATATGATATTAAATAGATTATCAGTTTGTGTAAAATAAGAATTTTATATTTTACATTAATTATAGCTTATGTATAATGATGTTTATAATATTCGTTTTTACGAACAATAATGATAATAATAATATTCTGTTAAATTTATTCATAATACAATTTTTATTCTTTGTATTCGATATAAATGACAAATAGATTTTATCTTTTGAAAATATTTTATGTAAATAATTTTTTTTGGTACAAAGTGGATTGATGAGCACACGACGCTTCGTTGCATTCAAAAAGACGGGAGGAGAGACACTTTCCCGCTACCAGTTTGAATCGCTCTTGTTTTTTGTGACGTGTTCATTCATGCTACTGTCCATAAGCACTAAAAAATCTCTAGAAACAAGTTCTCAAATCACGTCGTCATTACTAAACAGAATGCAAAAAAATTTGAGGGACGTGTTCAGGAGGATATTAGCCAAATCGTCAAAAAGTTATAAAATATTGAAATTTGTCTGTCAACGGTCCAGAAAATGGAGGACCGGACTCACCTGCATTAATTTATTCGTAATATAAACATTTCTGCGAATCGTATGTGCAAATGGGTACCAGAGTAACATTCTTTGGGTCAGATAGAACAAAACGAGCATCCAAGGGATGATGTACAAGCCAGGTAGAAGAAATTTGAGAATTATGATTTTCACTCGCGAAAGACGTCGAAAAGGTAAAACAGACCACAAATTTAGTTCCTCATTTTTTCTGTAGGGCGCAGTTCATTCGTTTAGTATACTCGACCGCGCAATCATTTGCAGCTCGCGTATGTGAAGCGGTCTCGACGCTAATACTAAAATATTATATTAAATTGTGTATTAGGTATCAGAAATACAAAAAACAGAAAACAAAGTTGAAGAGAAGACAGAAGTCCTGCCTTCTGACATCATTTCCACATTGTCTTCAGAAATGCGTAAGCTGAAAATCTATACCCTATTATGTCGATACAGATACGAATTAAAATAACATATTTCTCATTTATTCTGCTTTTATGGTGATAATTTATTAAATACCATCAATATCTTATGTATTTTTTCTATCTTTTTTATTATTTCGGTGCTTTAAAGTGAAAAAAGTAATCTTGACCTTATTTCAATATGGCGTTGATAATTTTCAACGAATCTTTCCGTTCTTTTAATGTTAAAGTTTCAAAGCAATTCGAAGTTTCTACTAATGCCTGTGATTGGTCATTCCATTATGGCGTCGTCCTATTTAGACCAATCAGATTCATCGTTGTAGGGTGCGATGCGAGGAGAGGGTGGAGTGCAACCGTCCTCTTCGAAGCTTCGTCCGTTTGGCACGTGTCTGCAACAGGTAAGATTAAATTATCTTCAAATATTAAATTAAATTGCCGTTCGGGTGTTGAAAGTACAAAAAACAGAAAGAAACATCGAAGAGAAGTCTGAATTCTTGATCTTTGACATTAATTCGGCGTTTTCTTGAAAAATACGGAAGTTGAAAATTTTTGCTCTCGCCGCGAATGTACAATAAGAGTGGAACAGCAGAATCTGAATTATTTTCTCTTTTATATCGTTAAGTTCCTAAACATTATTGAATGTTTTTAGTATTGTTTTACACAATTTGCTGTTTTTAATTTAATAACGTTTTTTCTTGAGCATTGTAATATTATTCCTGTTTAGACCTGTTTCTGTACTTGCTTAGGTATCGGCTTATAGCAGATATACCGAATATATCTATTAAAATATTTTGCATCAATTATAGTCTGATCGTTTATTAATAATAACTTTATTATTGTTGATTAAATTTTATTTACATAAATTCGTATTTCTTTTTTATTACAGACATTTGATGGATATTGAAAGGACGCCATGACTCATGTTGGCTCGTGCCTGGTCGGAGAAGTTCGGTACACCTCGGTGGGACCTCATCGGTGATAGAAAGTAAGTGAATTTTTGAACTTTTAACGTAAAATAAATTATATTTTCTTACCATTTAACATTATCTTGTATTCTTATAAAATTCTATAATTGAATTGTAAACAAATATAATTCAATACTTCATTTTTTTAGTATCATATTAACAAAGTATAGAATAGGGACATTATTCAGTAACGAGATATTTTTCATATATGAATTTCAATAAATGCGACAGAGAATAATAGTAGTTAATATATATTTCTCGTTTTTCGGAATAAGATATTATTATTCAAATTAGAAATTTTCGATTCAATTAAATAAGAAATCGTGAATTTAAAATTCAGGGAGTCTGTGTATTCCAATTTAATTTCAACATGGCTGCTTAGTGCAGCATGGTGCAGCACTTTCCGGGGTCAACGAATTCCCGAGTGTGAACATTCTTATTTCCTGTTTGTTCATGCTACAGAAAATCCCTAGTTTTACAATTTATTGTCCGTTTTATATAATTAAATGATACAAAGGACTTATAAAACATAGTACGTTCATTTGCAATAATAAAAGGCTTCAAATAAAATAAAATTATCAGATGCAAATAGTTAAAACCTCGTGAAGTGAAGCGCGGGAAAATTAAATTGTCGGAAGTTGGTATAGCATGTTTTGACATTAGGCTAAGATGGCGGTATTTTTCAGTATATCTACGGGGTAGAGGTATCGTCTTCTTTAATATTTTGGGTTTTTGCTAGACAATTTGTTGCCAATGAATTATGGAGGCTAGTGCGAGTACCGGTACTCGTACAATGCGATTTATGATGGAAGGTGTCGGAGCCCGGGTCATTCGTGGACCTGAATGGAAGTGGGGTAAACAGGTTAGTAGAAAGGTTAACTTACTTTAACGTAATTTTTCATTACAACTCTGTTTTTTTATTAATTACACATATACTTTGAATTATAATATTCACGATGTTTCATTAATATTTTTATATGTCATTCAATTTTATTTATACATAATATTTAAAATAAAATTAAACATATTTGTTTAAGGTTATTCTACAAGTGGCATTATTTAGCATAGATTTGTTTATAATATATATATTTTATAGCATGAGTCGAAATGTTATGACTTTCTTAAAATTTATTACGTAATTTTATACGCTGTGTTACATATTTACCTACATTCCATCTCATTTAGTTTGTTTTCTTTACATAATTTTTTTTAGAATTAATTACTCATTTTGAAAATGTTATATTGTATTAAGGAAAATATGAAAATTATATTATATTGTTTGTTAATTTTCATCATTAGATCATTGATTTATTTTTCTATTTAATAAACACTAAAAAATTATAATTCCTTGATTTAACAGGATGGAGGAGAAGGTCATGTAGGAACTGTTAGAAATTTTGAATCCCCAGAAGAAGTAGTTGTTGTTTGGGATAACGGTACAGCAGCTAATTATCGCTGTTCTGGTGCATTTGATCTGCGAATTTTGGATTCAGCTCCAACAGGTGTAAAGCATGATGGAACCATGTGTGATACATGTAGACAACAACCAATTTTTGGAATTCGTTGGAAATGTGCAGAATGTGGAAATTATGATCTATGTTCTATTTGTTATCATGGAGACAAACATCACTTAAGACATAGATTTTATCGTATAGCAACTCCTGGCAGTGAGAGAGTATTACTAGAACCAAGACGTAAAAGTAAAAAGGTATTAATTAATTCTCTTGAATGTTTATTATTGTTACTGCTTCATCATAATTCATACTTTATATTTCCTATTAGATCGCAATTCGCGGAATATTTCCTGGTGCAAGGGTTGTCCGAGGTGTTGATTGGCAATGGGAAGATCAAGATGGTGGAAATGGGCGAAGGGGTAAAGTTAACGAAATTCAAGATTGGTCAGCAGCCAGTCCACGTTCAGCCGCTTATGTTATATGGGATAATGGAGCGAAAAATTTGTATCGCGTCGGTTTTGAAGGAATGGTTAGTTCAAAACAATTTTAATTGTGGTTTTTCTTAAATCTCATAAATAAGGGTCGACTGTATAAACTTTAAATATAAACTAAATATATAAGCAACTTGTAATTATTTATGTTTCAGGCCGATTTAAAAGTTGTTAATGATGCTAAAGGTCAGACAGTATACAGGGATCATTTACCACTATTAGGTGAACAAGGTCCAGGTCGCACAGGTCCGCATGGGTTACAAATCGGAGATCAGGTAATTAAATAATATATTTGTTGAGAGAATTTAGTAGCCATTTGAGCATATAGTTTCTGAGAAATAAAGTTATTAATACAGTAGTTTTTATTTCACAGGTTAATGTTGACTTAGAATTAGAAATAGTACAGTCATTGCAACACGGACATGGTGGTTGGACAGATGGTATGTTTGAGTGTCTTGGCACTACTGGGACTGTTGTTGGTATTGATGAGGATCATGATATTGTTGTATCATACCCGAGCGGTAATCGTTGGACGTTTAATCCTGCTGTATTAACGAAAGTACAAATACCGGTACCAGTTACCAGTTCAAGTTCTGATAACCAAACGTTTGCGGTTGGAGATTTGGTACAAATATGTAATGATTTAGAGAAAATAAAGCTACTTCAACGAGGTCATGGGGAATGGGCCGAAGCAATGGCACCGGTGTGTACTATTGCTTTGTAAAAATTTATGAAACTTTCAACATATTTATAAACAAATTTTGAATGATTTGTATGTTTCAACAGACAATGGGAAAAATTGGGAGAGTTCTACAAATATATCACGATGGCGATTTGAAAGTAGAAGTATGTAGTACTTCTTGGACGTATAATCCTCAAGCAGTAACTAAAGTTGCAAGCAGCGATGGTAGCGTTCCAGGAAATAGCAGTGGAGGTAAGCTTAAGTATTGAGAAATTAGTCAATAAAATTTGATCAGTGTTACTTTCTAAGATTTCAGATAATTATTTGATACTATGTTTTCTTTAGAACGTTTATCAGCATTGTTGAAAAAATTATTTGAAACCCATGTCTCGGGTGATGTTAATGAAGAATTAGTAAAGACTGCTGCAAATGGCGATGCTGCTAAATGCGAAGAATGTTTGAAGAGACCCGAGGCTGATGTGAATGGTGTGTTCGCTGGTCACACTGCATTACAAGCCGCAAGTCAAAATGGCCACTTAGAAGTGATAAAAATTCTTCTTCGTTACAAAGCAGATGTTGAAATTGAGGTAAATGTTTTTCTCTTTAAATATTTAATTTTTGAAGATTGTTTCAGAATATATGCAATTGAACGTATTGTAATATGTTTTTAGGATAAAGATGGAGACAGAGCTGTACACCACGCTGCATTTGGAGATGAACCGGGTGTAATGGCGTTGTTAGCTGGTGCTGGAGCTGACTTGAATGCGAGGAATAAAAGACGTCAAACTGCCCTCCATATCGCAGTTAATAAAGGACATGCTGGTGTAGTGCGCACGTTACTGGAATTAGGATGCCATCCAAGTTTACAAGTAAGTGATATATACATTTCTACCATACATTATCTTATCTCAATAATAACAATTTGGTACAGTACTTTTAAATATGTTTATTTGTGTAAAAATATTACCAAATATTTAAATTAAAAGTACATCGAATATGTATCGTTTAACAATAATTCGAATACGTGTCAAGAGATTGATACTTCAATAATGACTTATTGAATGTTATCAGTTATACTTACACATGATAATAATTACGTATTGATTACTATAAGCTTTCTTAATTCTTGAAACACTAGATATTAGTGAATCTATTCTTTTGTATGAATAATTTAAAAGAATAAAGGACATTAAAAATACAGCGTATTGATATTTTAATTCGATACGTCTTTTTGTTTATAGTTTCAGTACGTTATATATTTTGTTAAAGGTATGTTAGATCTTGCAATAGTCGTGAATAATATCGAAATCCATTGTAGAATTTAGATGGTTTTTATAATAATTTCATATTTTTATATTAGTAGATCGCTTGAAAATTTGAATACTCTAGTTAAAGTTCTAAATATTTATTAACCATTTTACTTACAAAATATCAACATTTATTTTAGATAGATTGACACGTAGACATTTCACAAGCTCTTTTCATAAATTTGTTTACTCATGTTTTCACATCTATTGCTTTAGAATATTATAGTGGAAGATTTTCTTTAATTTTTATAGCTGAATATATAATCTGTTTGAAACATAATCAGTAAAATTACATAATAATTACCAAAGCTTGAATCGTACTAAAGAAACATTTTCATTATTTGATAAACATTGACAGATAAATTTTTAAATTGTTAATCCCTTCATCTACTAAAGCGAATCGTCACTTCATTAAATTTCAAGAGATAGTTTTCTCCTTTAGTTCATTTCGATTTATTATTTGTACATTTTATTTGCCACGGTTCGCTGTTGTCGAAACTCGGAATTTTATCATTTCATTTGTAGTTTTGTGCATACACCTGTAGTGGAATTAGAAACTGCGAAACAACATAATTATTGTAACGCGTTCCATGTTGCGTGAGTTGCCGGTGGGGTAATTACAACGTTTGTCAGAAACACGATTTTAATTAAACGAGCAAGTATATTTTTTGGTTTCACATCAACCTAACAAAAGGAGGAAAATTAAAATGAAGTTTAATGAACTTGATGTAATTTCAATTCTTTATTATGTTTTGCAGTATAATTTTTGGATTAGGCACATATTATTAGAAATTCTTTAATTTATCCAATTAGAAACATTCGCAATCAATATTTGAAATTATGGATAATAGACATAATGAAGTACCTACTGTAAAAATAATGGATGAGGTTTATTTAAAAATATCAGCTAATGAAATTTTTGAATATTTGATTTTTCTTCTTCAACATTTAATACTACTTAGTTTCAGAAAAATCATTATTAGGTCTTTTGCAAAAAAAAGGCAAGAATATCGATTTTTGACCGGTTACAGTAGAATACCCTCTTAATTAACGCAATAGCTAGCCACAAATTTTCCGTCGTTATTTAATTTTTCCATCCACCTCGGTGACCATTTCCTCCGTCATTTTGCCATGGATTTTCACCCCTTCATCTCTCTAGGCTTAATTATTCGGTCCGAAACTTACTTTCCTTCGTTTTCGGGGTGGAAAGGTCGTCTCGCACGGGGAGTCACATGTACGAATGTGAATTAGTGTTAATTCACCTTTGTTACATGGGTATCTCCTCATTTGCAGGAGACTTAATTAATTCAGTTATCTGCCTGGAGGAAGCCTCGAATTCCACCTGCGTTACGAGTGTCGCAGGATTGTGTTTGAGAATACGTGTTGCGCATAATCAAGCCGAGCCCTCTGTATATCTGGTGTCCGGGCAATGGGGTATAACACCGGGGATCCCTATTTTCCTTCGAAACAATTCGAACCTGAAGACAACCGGGAACGTTTTCTGCGATAAACAACGCTTACGTGCCTGGCATACTTATCGGAACTCGGTGCTCTTTCTTTCGTCAACTTTTTATCCAGATAGTATTCTCTCTTCATCTTAAATTACCATTATAGCGAAACGTTTCATCCAAAAAATTAGGTTAATACAAAATTAATTTCTCAAAAGAACAATTTTTGTTCCTCTTTGGTCTTCAATATACACTTCTTCTAAATCTACATTCAGTGGCATAGTTATAAAGGTTTTGAATTCTTCTTTTTAAACGTTTTCTAAATTTTGACGATTATTAAAAGTGATTTAGAAAAGAAAATAATAATACAATTTTTAATTATTGAATATTATAAAGTTTTGGATATTACAAATTTTCCCGTGTAAACAATTATACGCAAGTAGTGAGAAGCCACAGGGAAAGGGAAGCCTATGGGCAAGTTCGGGAACCCGAGAACCCGTGGAAACCTACGGGGAAAATCGGGAATTTGGAATCCCGGGGAAACCTACCGGTGGGAGGGAGGAATCGCCGTTTTTCCTGGCGAAGCCTACTATTCTCGATACTGTACATGGGGGTAATATCAATACCGTAGACAGTTTTATTAAAAGATAGTTTCTAAGGAAGGATTAAGATTCAGCAAATTTGCATAGATCACGTGCTAATGGGGTTGAGTAGATGAAAATGTTTTATATTTCACTTCACCCGTGAGATATTTGAAATTCATATAGAGATAAAATTCACTCGACGGATGATAATTTTTAATCTTCTTCAGGGTTTCCACATCCTTAAATAGAAATTTAAATTAGGATTTCGTTTTAAACTGGAATCATTTAAAGAGGAATTATAATTACATTTTAAAATAAAATTAACTCCTTGTGTTGGAATTAAGTTTTGGAGAAATTGTATTATCTTTTATGAGCCACGTTTTACATATATCCTCATCTGTTTTTAAGTCAAGCATAAATTAGAAAGATTTAAAAAATTTCTTCAGACTGGGTTATTGGAAAGGAAATGAAAAAGTTGGATTGCGAAGGATTAATGTCACACAGTGTATTTCAGCCGAAAAAAGAAATTCGTTAAATTTGCGAATAATCTTCTACAAGAATATCTGACATCAGGTTTATCCCCGTTCGTATCTGGATTTAACCAACGTCTCGTTTTAAATCTACCGAAGTCCTCTTCGCCTGTATAAAGCTCTTGTTTTAATCCCACCAGGATCTTCCTCCGAATCGACCTAAGTCTAATTCTGAAACCCTGGGTCTTGCCGGGATTCAACAAGCTCCTGCTTAGAACTAACTTCGAACTTGCTCAGCACTTTAACCTATTTTCACGTATCTGCATGTCGAATTTGCATTTCGGGAATTTGCTTCTTTAGACTGGAGCAGAAGTTCACAGTATAAACTCGTGTACAAAGGGCGCGATTATTCTCATCAACATACGCGATGCTATGTCGTTAATTGTACATCTCTAATTTATTATCTCATTATACCTTTTGAATAAAACATGTCAGTTCTTCTAAGATATCTTAGTTTTGAATTTTTCTCTTCTTATTTGTTTAGATCTTCTGCAAGGGATCGTAAGTTTTTCATTCACACTTAATAGTTAAGAAGTTTAGTAATTTCACGCTTGAAGGCCGACCAAGGTATTCATTAAGCGTGGATATTAGAAATTGTTTAAAACGTGAACGCATAGGCAATTACAATAAATTATTGCAAAGCCTTCTTTCGCGTAACGCTCTTTTACAGGTAAGGGAAGGTAATTAAGAAAGTTAGGTAATGCTTCCTCTCATTTTCATAATCACCCCTCGAAATGGTATAAATTAACAGTAAACGTAAATCAAGCGCGTTTTTAAGCGACGTTCGCCGCAATATACCGACTTTATGTTTTCGCGTCTTTGAGGAACAGGTGAATTTTTTTTCTTTTTCACAACTTGTTTACATCCCTTCGAAATAACAACACCCTTGGGCTGAAAAATAGCCTAAGTTATTCAAAAAATTCAAAAAATTCAAAAAATTCAGTTCATTTAATTCTTCTTGTATTAGACGTTTAGTCATCCAGATGATTGGTTAGAAAATTTCTTCTTGTAAGTCGTACAGTTATCGTAGTTTTTTCTTCACCGACAGAATGGAGCGCACTTTTTTTTCATGAAAGAACGAAATTTCCACGATCACGTACGTGGCAGGGAAAAAAAGTCCGTTCTTGTACGGCACGTGAATGAAATTCTAAAAAGTCATCTTCGACAGCGTTAGAGCGGTCTAGAGAAGGGAAGGAATCTTTCTTGTCGAGGGATCGACCTAATCGAAATACCGGACATCGTTGAACTTCCGTTTCTACTTACGACTGTCTTGATTTATACACATTGATAATTTCTTTGTTTTTAGAAGTAAAACATAGTTTAAGTCTAACGGATATCACATTGAGAAGATTAGAAATTCTTTTATTGAAATTGAATTTGATGAGAGAAAATTATTATTCTGGAACGATAAATTCAAAATTCAGAAACAGAAATTAATATGTAATGAATTATTCTAAGAACGAAATTGGAATTAACAATTGAATAAAAATAAAAGGAAACTGAATTTAAGAATCAGCTTCATTTTAGTAGATATTAGTTATATAAAAAATTTGCAAATTTTTAAGTAGCGTGTATATTAGATATTATTTGATTTAATCCTGAAGAATAATAATTTCAACTGCGTTTTTCAGCATTTTCAAAACTTTTCAAATATCCACAAAAGAGTTAATTTAATCATACGATAAGGGATCGCGCATTAAAAACTACGTTCGTTACTACAGTAATTTTCATTCAACGAGCAAGAATGATAGTTGTCACAGAGGTGTTGGTAAAACAAATGACCGTATTTTCGAACAGAGGTGTCATAAAGTATGTGCCAGGGTGCAAATTCTAACCAATGAGGATTAATCGTTTCCCAGGAACCGTGTCCTTCTGTGGCAGTGGCCAACTCAATCTCTTGGACATCGTGTTCCAACCGAGACCACTTTATTTTACGAGCTCTAGCTGAACTCTCGTGTACGCCATAATCGAGGCCGATTGTGTTCGTTACGTTGATCAAT